GAGTAGGGCCGGATATGGTTATACAATGCGGCTCAGATCCGGCCCGAATGCGGCCCGGATCATGGATGCCGGACCCGGGCCACTGCAGGACCGTCATTCATTGCGGTATGTGGGCCGAGTGTCGTGCCGTGTCCGCGCCAGAGCTGGGCCAGACCAATTTTGCTGACTGGGTCCTTTGCCACGCCTGGGCCGTGTTCGGCCCACATGCGTTATGCCATTGCCGACACAAGGCCAGCTGTGCCGGCTTCATGCCGAATCCGGGCCAGATGCCTTTGCTGACTGGGTAATAACTAAAAACTAAGAATGACTATAGAGGTAGAGTAAGGTGGGAGAAAACAGACCAAAGAGCGGCACAGAGGTGCCAGTGAACCAGCAAGCATTAATTCCCGAATTGGTGCCGCATATGTTGTAGCTTGTGTTAGCCTAAAAAAAACACAGCTTCAGGTGTTGAAGAAATACTTTAACAAAAAAAACATACAAATATAAGATGTATTTTTTTGTTCATTTATTATTATTCTTAGATATTTTGATTATGAATTAAAAATCGGAGTGTCACAGCATCAGTATTCACAACTATTCCAAAATATGAGAGCAACCAACAGAGTGAAAAGGCGGTGGAGGGGAGGGGGATTAATTGTCAGACTCGTGAAAAAAAAAATCATTCGCTAATTTAGCATTTATGGTGGTGTGAGTTCACAATGTTACAATGTTTGAACCAGATTCAGATTCTCAAATATTGTCAGTCTAATATGTGTGTGTGTGTGTGTGTGTGTGTGTGTGTGTGTGTGTGTGTGTGTGTGTGTGTGTGTGTGTGTGTTAGAGTACAACTAAATAAATAAAATGCATCTTGTCAATAGAGCACCACGCAACTTAATAAAACAGGGAAACTGTTGAGTTCCGACTCTTTCTATTGTCAAGTTGGCAGAACGGATTTTGTATGTAATGACGGTCACAATTCATTTGAACTTTTTACTTGGAAGCAAGTTTCAGAGAATGTACTTTTTATTTTTACTCAAAACGGCTACTTTTACTGGAGTCTCTAAGTAGACTATGTGCATGTACATCCGCTCCGGTAGCTAATGTGGGTACATTGACAACTGTGCTGATAAACAATTAAAAAGGATCACTTACCGGAACCGCAACAGCAGCACCAGCAACTCTTTGTTTTCGTCCGCGTCTACCGCTGAAGAACAACCTCTCGGCTCACCCTGACAGGTTTTATTCCAGGGGAACACGCGAGTAACCGTGACGTCAGAGGCACGTTTCCATTCGAGGCAGAACGGTGGGCGGGACGTCTGGTCTCGGGCCAATCATAGGGCATTTCTTGTCGACGGGACGTGCAAATGACGCACTACGGGATTCCGTTGACGCGCACATAGAACAACCGCAGCATAATCCCACGCACACGCAGCACACACACGTACACGCACACACAGCGATGATGAAAGCGTGATAGTGATGAATAGATTCTATATTAAGAGCAGGAAGAGAGAAACACACACACACACACACACACACACACACACACACACACACACACACACACACACACACACTGTGTCTTTTGACGCCACAGATGGTTAAAAGAAGAAGAAAAAAACAGGAAGTCGAAAGCATGTATGGTTTTCTCTGTAGCACTATATTTGGTTGTCTTTATTCTCTGGCATCTGAATAGCAGAAGAAAAGGAGGAGCAGCAGCATAAACCCATGATCAGAGGGCCTGTTTACCCACGATATTTACACCGCACAAAAAAGCAAACACATAATTAGTATTCAGGATTTTTGAAATGATAACAATAATGATCTCGACCCGTTATTCGTGGGAGACGTTGATTTATGGCAGTATAGCTCTGCTTATTCAATAATGTTTTTTTTTGGGGGGGGGGGTGTTGAGTGCATTTATAATGGTGTCGATTATTAGCGGATTTTATATAGGTTGATCCTGAAATTTCACAATCCCAAAATTCCAAACTCGTGAGGATAATTGGTGTAGATAATATAAGTAATAATCATGATTGTTATTATTAATGTACGTATTTAGTAAGGGTGGTACAGTAGCAGAGGTGCAGGGTTCAATTCCGGCTCCGGCCGTCCTATGCGGAGCTTGCATGTTCTCCCCGTGCCTGTAAGAGTTTCCTCCCCCATTCCAAAAACATGCATGGCAGGTGAATGTAACACTCGAAATTGCCCCGAGGTGTGATTGTGAGGGTGAATGGTTTTTCGTCTCAGTGTGCCCTGCGATTGGCTGGCAACCAGTTTGGGTTGTCCCCCGTCTGCTGCCTGAAGACAGCTGGGATAGGCTCCAACACACTCACGACCCTCATGAGGATACACAGATTAGAAAATGGATGGACGGATAGATAATCTAATCAAAATATAGTCTTATTTTTATTATTCAAATCTTAATCCTAGAATATAGTCCTAAATTTGGAGGGAAAAAAATATAATCTTACAAGTCAATCATATATTGAGGAGGTAATTTTGTGTTGTATTTTTACCATAATCTTTTTTTTCCACAAAAGTCATAATCTGAAGAGAATAAAGTCATAAATTTGGAGAAAAGGTGCACATTACGATATATACAGTAGTGACATATTTTCACGGAAAACATTTGAAATCTTCAGAATCAGGATCAAAATAACTTTTTTTGTCATTGTTCCACAAGGAGCAATGGAATGTAACAGACACAACCTGTAAATGGTCTTCACATGAGATTATAGTTGAATCTGTGGAGAAAAAGTATTAATCTTGGGAGAATGCTGTTGTATTTTTGAGAAAAGTTGCCCTTTCACAAGAATACAGTCATATATTTTCAGGAAAAGGTCATATTCCTATAAAAATATGATTAGATGTCATATGGAAAACACTGGCAATCCTACAAGAATATTGATGCACATTTAAGAGGAAAATGTTTTTAATTTTATGAGAAAATAGTCATATACGGAAGTCATTCAATAAATTAGGTGAATTTTTTGGTATAAGGACTTCAAATACAGATAGAAGCTTATTATTACCTGCGTGGGTTTTCTCCGGGTACTCCGGTTTCCTCCCACATTCCAAAAAAAAACATACATGGCAAATTGAACACTCCAAATTGTCCCTATGTGTGAGTGTCAGCACGGATGGTTGTTCATCTCTGTGTGCCCCTGCGATAGGCTGGCAACCAGTTCAGGGTGTCCCCCGTCTACTACCCGAAGACAGCTGGGTTAGACTCCAGCACCCCCCGCGACCCTTGTGAGGATAAAGCGGAAAATGAATGAATGAATGTTGACATCTAAGAATGTTATTGTCATGTTTTATTTTCTGCAGATGTAGTTGTTTTTTTGTGAAGAAAATGTATTTCTAAGAGGATGAGTCATACCTTTTTTTCAACTGAAAATATACATTTTGAAGAAAAATAGTCATACTCATACAATTTGTGTTGTCATACATTCTGGGGAAAAGATTGGTAATTTTGAGACTTTTGTCAAATGTTTATTTAGAAAACCAATTGAAATATGTCATGAGAATTCATAAAATGAGAACGTGTATTGTACTTTCAAGTAAAAGGAACAAATCTTACGCGATTAGAGTTGTGCATTTTCAAGAGGAAAAAAGGCACAATCCTACAAAATTATACTTCAGTTTTTCCATGACAAAAGATACATGACATCACATGGAGGAACACTGATGAAGAGATTAGAAGGTGGGCGTGAAAAAAAAAAGCAGGAAAGAATTCGTTTCCAGAGCAGCATGTTGGTGCATGCAGATGAGGTCAGGCCGGGCCTGCCCGCTGCCCGCACACAAAATTAGCAAAACACAATGATCACAAGTTTTCACTTGTGATCATTCACTTTCACTTCTGTCACAATATTATGTTAGAATAATAATGTTATATAAAGAAACGAACGTCTTATCTTCAAAGCATTTCATCAAATAAGATGGCTGACCTTTGGCTTCAGTTGTCAGTTGTCCAAATTCCTAGGCCATACCTGTCAACTTTTCGGAGCGCCAACCTGTATAAACTACCAAAAAAATCCTTATAAAGAGCAAAAAATCCTGATAACATACCAAAGCATTTTATATGTCAAAATAACGGCAGAAAAAACCCCACGAAATATGAATGATATATTTGTTTCCTTGTAGAACTTGCTTGTACACTACCGAAGTATGCAATGAATACTCTGCTGTTTTCAACTAGGAACCACGTGATTTACTGGAAAGTTACCGGAAATGAAAGCATTCGAGTAGACTAGCACCATTCTGGGCAAAAGCAAACGGAACTACCTGTTCAGGGGGAAAAAAGAAAAAAAAAAAACCAGAAATTTTCAGAATCCGTATGATTTGTGCGATATGGCCATATACGTAAGATTCACCACAAAATCCGTATGAACTATGGCTAAACCATATGAGTTGACAGGTATGCTAGGCTGCTTCATTGAGGACCTTTCTCAGGCTAGGCCCTTTGAAGGCTTCATCTTATGTAGCCTCAGGTGACCACTTTAAACCGTGACAAATTGGGGCAGGCATAGTGACTCTCATTTGACGGAAAATGGCAGTTATGCTCTCGGCTGGACGTTCACGTGTAGACTCGGAACGGTATAAAAAAAAGAGCTGAGCAACGTTGGCTATGAAAGTGTTCTTCTGAAGCATTCTTCCCTCAGGGAAGATTTAAAGACTCGATTCAAAGGCTGCGTGAATGTGGACACTGGCGTGATGTCGAGGCGCACAGGAAGTTACATCATCTGGCCTTCAAATTTGGCCTTTGGAGGGTGCAGCCTATGAATTTGGGACTTTGTATTCGCCTAGGCTTGCTCCTCTTTTGCCATACTGTAAGCAGAAGTGCAAGTCAAAGTGTTTGGTCAATTTTTGTTTTTTTTTTGTACAGCCCTTAATCACAAACAAATCTCAAAGGGAGGGCTTCATTCAAAAGCCCACAGAGTTGTTAACTAAGTGAATTAGGTAAATAAATTGTATTTCATATGAATTCATGACTCTCTTTATTTGAACATAAAATACCAAAACATTTGTGAATCATAAATAAAAACGAACCGCATCGATTGTAGTCCAGATTTATTGCTTGTTTTTGCAAAAATACATAAGAGAGTCTTGAATAAAGGAATTGCAAATTAAATTTCAGTGGTAAAAATGTGGGGGTGTAAGAAAATTGATGTCATTCAAACGATGGTCATTTGTTTCCACTCGATATTGTGACTGGTGGGCTTAAATAGGTTTGCTTGACCAGGTCTACACACTCCATACCAGAAGATAGCGCTGTGGTAAGGCACTTTACACACTACATGTACTTGCGAACCATGATTAAAACGCCAAGAGAACGAGACGAAGACGTTCCTTGTGGGTGTGGGGGAGTGTTTGCTAACATTTGGTTAGATTACAGCACTTGCATAAAAAAATACTGATTCAACCCCTTTACTTCATAACTAAAAGCAGAATAAAAATAAATACTGGCCACAAGTAGATAGATATTACCCGCATGTGCTTTTTCAGATCCAAATTGTTGTACACTAGATGTTTCTGGGTTTTAGTGTGGCACAAGATGCCACAAAAAAAATGTCTCTTCAATAAGGCCATGGAAGGGGAATAGCTTGGTTCCCGGAATCTGTTGCAACATGTTTGTCAATCAATCTTTTGTAACCAAGTGGAGGCAAGGGCCCCTTTGTTTTTCCCCTTCTTCTTTTAATGGTACAGGTAGGTTTGGCAGAAAGGAGATCTCTCTCTCTCTCTCTCTCTCTCTCTCTCTCTCCCTCCCCTTTCTCCTTCTCTCTTCTCTCTCTCTCTCTCTCCCCCCCCCCCGATTTTCTTTCTGATCTGCTTCATCGTCACAAGGGTTGCAAATTAGCAAAGGCCTCCGAGATCTTAACCGAACAAGAAACACAAACTAGTGTGTAATTGGTATGCTGCAGCCAACCATCTCAGACGGCGCTCAGGCCGTTCCAGCAACCCGAGCAGCTTTTCTCCCACCGACCACTTTATGACCGCCTTGCACAGATGTTGTGCATGAGCTAATTAATAGAGCACCATAGAGGGGAGACGGGGGTGATTCGTTCATGCCACGGGAAACCGGATTCTGTACAGTGTGAGTACTTTTGCCACTTTGGTCGTGTTTGTACTTGATTTACACTGGATATTGAAAGTAACGGAGTCGGCTTTCGCCACATAGGGGCAGTGCCGAGCCTGTTTCACACTTCCAAGAGTTGAGCCGCCGAGCAACTTGATGGATTTAAGCAGAAATAGCATGTTCACCTTTGGGGAAGTGAAAGACGTTCACGCCTTATTTTCCTAAATATTAGAAGAAGTGAAGTTTGAGTGATCCAGTTCAAAGTGGATATGGCGGTGAGTGGCCAACAGGTAACGTTATGGAGGTTTCCTCAAACGGCAGGTGCTGCTTAAAAATACTCCTGTCGGTACTGTAGAACTGACGTTCCGCTGGTCACTCTTCACCCCACATGTCGGGGGGAAAAATTGATGCCCTTGACTTGCCTGCCATTTTCACAAGGATGCGGTATTATTAAATCTCTTGATACTCTGCCACAATTCATTTATATTCCATGTATATTTATAGAACAAGTTAACAATTGATCTGAATGCAAACCCTGAAAAAAGTCTGTCGTTAGTGAGGAATATTAGATTCTTAGAGTCAATGTCAATTAAAATTGCTACTTTATTAGGAGACAACATGACTGCGAAGTCATTGTTTATCATATCATCCACAGTCATGGGTTCATGAAATGAAATGCACACATGTAGCAATCTTGCCCAACACCTTCATAATGCAAGCAGGAACAAAACTAAGTATAAGCAATGTTGAGAATTGACATAAAATGTTCAAAAAATGGATGGATGGAAAGGTTTTATGTCATATATACTTAGACTTTTTAGTTATGATTTGACTGAATGGGCCATCAATTGCAGTACACTGCACTGCAAATATAGCAGTGCTGAAAGTTTGGGGACAGTATTAAAAACTGAATGTCGGTCTTGCATCAACACCACTTGTTCATGAAATAGCCTGTGTCGTTAACACTGATATGTTGTTGAAATGGGGTGTCACCTGTATTCAACCATGATTGGTGTTTCAAATTGAAAGCGCGCGCTTATGTAATGATTGAAGTTGACTGGTTATAGTCAGTCACTGATGGTGTAGTGGTACACGTGCAGGCAGCATGGGCTCAGTTCCCACTCAGTGACAGTGTGAAAGTAGATGTGAGAGTTCATTTGTCTCTTTAAGTGCCCTGCCAGTGACTGGCAACCAGTTTAGGGCGGAGTCTGCCTTCCGCCTGAAGTTACCTGGTTTAGGCAATTCCCTGCGACCCTGTTCAGGATAGACGGTGTTGAAAATGGATGGATGGGTAGATGGTTATAGTTGAGACAATTTTTTTCAGCATCATTTTGAAACCAAAATTTCCAAAGGTAGGCAAAACTCTCACATGATTGTATTTGATCATTTTTTTTTTTTTTGGCCTCATAATTTAGTTTCCACTTGACTTTTCAATTTCATATTGTTGAACAGAGATTGATCAATACACTAGGTGTAATTTTTTTTTTTTCAACACAACGTCCCAACTTTATTGGAATTGCGCTTACCGGTACAAGTGAGAATGCACACAAAAAAAAAAGACACCTGATTGTTTAACTTTTTTTTAATCATTGAAGTTAAGTTGTTTTGTGCCAGATTTCAATCCACAAACTACACATCTTTGAATTTGGCTTCTACATACAAAGACCTCTGGGTACTTGGTGTTACATGTTTAATCTTTTTTATTGTGATGTTCTATAACTTGGCAACTCATCAACAAAATGTGCCAATTGAAAGATGACGGAGCACTTTGGCTTGGCCTCTTTTGACAAACGAATACAATTTTACCATACAAATAAAATCATTGCTGTCCCACATAAACATGGGTCAAATAATAATTTAAATAGCTGGGCATATACTCTCAATGTAAGACGTGGAGTTGAGAAAAATATTCTTCAGCTCGCAATAACGAGGTAATCTATTCTGAATGCTGATGCAGTCTGTGTCACTCTGGTACCTACACACGGTATCTTCATGCTTACAAAAGATGAACTCATTTGGCTTCAAACGGCACATCAGGTGCTTGGATGGAGTTGCTGCGGAAAACTTTTTTTTTTTTTTTGTACTTTACATAAGAAACTGACTGCTACATACCCACAGGCGAAGCAGTGGTCGTTGTCAGTCAGCTTGCAATTTCCATTTTCTGCTCTCTTGTCTCCCACGGGATACACCCAAAAACTCTGTTTAAACCTCCTAAAAGACCATGACTCCACAGGCACATACTGAACATAATGGGCACAAACACTGATATGCTCGCTATTGGCATTCTCTGTTTGCCTTACAAAGCCTCTTCCGATGCGGCAGACCGGCAACAAAGACACAGTGAAAACATCACACTTCACAGTGTTCAACACCACAGCCAAAACGCGGATTTTCCAGAATACCAAAGCTGAAATGCAACTTGGAAGAGTCTATTTTCAAACAGACATACAGGAACACAGAGCACGGCTCAGACCACAACCGTGTCAGTTATTACATTTACTCGAAAACATTCGATGCGTTAGCCGCATTTGTCCTAGCGCGTGTTCATTCCCAGATGTCAAGTGCAGCAGAAACAACAGGTCAACCAACTGGTAACAGACAATCTGTAATCTAACATTAATCGTCAGTATTGTACAGGTGTCACAATTAATCGATCATCAAATCAATTGACAACGATTTTGGATAATTGTTTGGATCCATTGTTTCACCCTTTCATGCACCTCGTAACCTGATAACATGATAAGATGTCCACTGTCGTAACCGCTGTCCCTGAAAGGGTTAACTGATCTGTCCAAATTCTCTGATTTCATTCACCCAACCGTAAATATTCTCGGAGTTCTGTATTCCTTCATGAAAGTAGACTGACTCATCAGATTTTCCAAATTTCTGTTGCGGTTTAGTCAGGTTGAATTGGCTGTTCCAACTCAGCATTTTGGCGAATCGTGTCACGTTGGTCGCGAGTTAAATTTGGGCAATGGCCATTTAGATGCAGTTCTACTGATAGGTGCCAATTTCCAGGATAAGCGATTGAGTGCTGAACACATTTCCGTAAATCGGGTAGTCTCGTCGTCCTTTTTTCTGTGAATGGAAAAAAAAAACCCAAATCCATGCGCCTGTAGTACACACTGACCCCACTGGTACTGAGATTCTTGTTTTTCTCTAGTTGAAGTCATGGTCCAACCTTACCAAACACTGATTTACTGAAATGTTCTCAACATTAAGACTGATTTCTTTTGTGTTGGTTAAGGCAGCATCCGCGAATTAGAACAAGTACTCGGCAAAGTATCACAGTCTGAAGTGTTGGGTCAAATGTCGACCTGCTGTTTAGGACCATTTTGGCAAGGGGAAAATGTGAGTGGGTAGATACAATGGCAGCAATATTCAAATTAGAAGTAATGTTGCTTCAGAAACAAAAACACCAAAACGTGATTTCAGAGGTGATGTGAGAGCAAGCATAGGTGGTAGTTAAGTACTGTATTCTTTTGAAGCTCTTTTTTTTTAATTTTTTTTTTTAAATGGTGACACACTTGGGCATTCTAAATTGAATATAGACTTCTTCAGTGCATTTGGAAGCACTGGCACACTCAAGCATCCCGCCCTCCCCCACTTTAGCACAGAAACTTCATACTGAGCCATTTCCATCATTCGTTGTCTTTCGTCTTCTCAGTTGTCTGCAGCCTGACAAAAGCTCACACAGACACCGCGAGAAGAGGAGCTGCTGCTAGGTCACACGAGGCTTCTGAGTTCCATTTCACATCTCTTTGAGCTCTGGTCCAAACTGCGGTGGAGGCAGGCCCTCTCGCTACAGCGCCGATGGTGACCTGCGGCAAGAAAAGTGATATTTTGGCCCTTCCCGATTTGTTCCATTCACAGTTCCCTGGAAACGTGCTTACCCGAGGCGGCGACAAACTCCTCATGACAAAATGTGCACAAAGAGAATGGCCAGACCGATGTTGAGCAAGATGACCATGCAGATCATGATGGTGTTGGGGCTCTTGAGAAGGAAAGAACATGTGAGTCCGGGGACGTTGGTAGAACATTTCCAAAATGCTTCTCTGCAAAACAAGTGACAGCTCCGTGACGTGCTTCCACGCTCGATAATGAGCGGCAAATTAGTTTCCGGTTCACCGCCCGCTTCCTTCAAAACAAAAGTGATGGGGAAAGTGACCAGATTGAGAATCTCGAGCGCTTTAACTTCCCAAATAAATGAGTAAATATCGTGAAAGGGATAGTCTCCAAAATCAATGAGCATTGCTGTGTCACTTTACGTCGGCTTGAGAAGCTATAAGGGCAAGATCAGCTTTTACTCTTTTCTTAAAGATGCCATCCAAAGAGTGTACAGGAAACAAAGGAGGGCATTTGTGTCGCTACAAAAGAAGGGAGTTTGTTGTTGCTCAGCACAAAAGTGATATAGCAGACATTTCGGAATGTCACAAATGCCATACAGTCATTGTTTGAGTGGAACATCATTTCTCGCTCACCTTTGACTGCACACAAATACATTCAAATGGATCCGCCGGACCTCAGAATGCAGCGGATGCCACTCATGAAATGAAAGCCTGGCTTTCTTCTCTTGTTGAACTCACAAACATATGCACTGGCGGCATCACTGCATTCCTAGTTTTATGGAACTTTAAAGTACCTTTAATTATATTAATTTTTTGAAATTATATATACAGTATATTTTTAATTATATTATATTGCTAATGCTTTATTTATATTGCACTTATTTTGAACTGTGTACAGTTCTTCTGAAACATTTTTGTGCAATGAAACACTTTAAACCCCCCCCCCCCCATCTTGCTACTGTAGACTGCTTTTTTTGCCCAGTGTGGGACTAATAAAGGTTATCTTAACTTATCTTAAAGTTCTTTATAGAGTTTAGTCATTTTTCTGTCTGTTACTATTCCCTGTTGTGAGAGAAGTGGGAAGCTGAATGGAAACTAATTTGACGATCACTGGCTAGAAGGGGCTGTACGGCATGGACCTGGTGCATGTCGTCCAATCACTGCTTGATTTTCCGTTACGTGCTCTAAAATGCCACAAAAATTGCACCGAAGCCCTAGTTAACAGGAAAGTAGTAATCCGTGTGAAGAAGTATATTACAGTGATGGAACTTGACTGAGAAACTCAAGACAAACTTTGTCAGGAGGGACTAGGCTTAGCCATGTAGTCTGTGACATTGGCCTTCAAGAAGGCCGAATGAGAGACTGCAACCAGCTTGAGGATCATTGATTTGACCACCAAAATGATGCAAATCACAAAAGCCAAAGGCTGTGAAACAGGTCTAAATCCATCAACTATGTGAGCATGGTCTGTTTTACCTCCTGCTCCAAAGGCTCTGCAGTCACACCAATACTTGAATTCAACACCGGCGCCTTCAGTCGGGATTCTGCTTTCGGATCTGCTTTCAAGGCAGGTTTGACACTGTTGCTTTTGGCTTCCACAGGCTTGGCTTGTGTCTTCGGTTCCTGGTTGGCCGCAGGCTTTGGGGCTGGAGCGGGGCTAGGTTGTCGTTTCGGTGGCAGTTTGGCTTCCGCCTTGACGGAAGGCCTGCTCGCCTCCCACGACTGCTCTCGATCGTGGACTGTCGGAACTCTTTCGAGCTTGAGGTCATTGGCTTTCGAATTTGGAGTGGCAGCTGGCACTTTGGGGCTGGGCCGTAGCTTTTCCTCGTCCTCCCGGGCGAAAAAGCTGTTTCTTGCAGATTGGGGTGCAGATGCAGTGTCTGGAGCATTCACCTCTGCATCAAACTTCCGCAAGGGTTTGATCTCCAAATCAGACCCCTGCTCGTTCTTGGTGCTGTGGCGGCTTGGGGTTCGAGAGAGGCTGCGACCGCTGGTGCCCTCGAGTCCAGTGGGAACAGGAAGAGGGAGTGAAGGTGTGGTGGGCCTGCTGTTGGGTTTACTGCTACCTTTACTAGCTTTTTTGTCATTTGAGCTGTCAGGACCCGGGAGTTTGGGGTCCTCCTTGATGAAGATCCCTGGACTGGGGGAGGGGGTGCGGGCTGGGGAGGAGCCAGGCATGAGGCGGTCTATTTCATTGACTATCGGGCTTTCAGGCGGCGTCGGCGCTGGCTCCTCTTCGGCCAACAGTGGCTCATGCATGACGATATCTGTGTTCTCACTTCCCTCCCCGACTTCCGGCATCACTCTCTTCTTCAGATACTCCGGACCTGTGCAGGAGCAGTTAGATAAAGGTGTTTCGAATACTTTATAATCGCAGCTCACCATAAAGCCTCTTTACACACACACAAATCGGGAAAAATTCTACAAAAAAGAGGCTTCAATCTGTTTGTGCCCAGTTTCAGTTTGCTGTCAAACCAAACTTCAAACTAAGAAAATTACATGCTGTGTAGGTAATTCAAACGATGCCATCGACATGCCACTGAATCGCATCTATGTGTGGCAGTGCTCCGTGTTTTAAGCAACAGATGTTGGAGCACATAAACACGTAGACAGGTGATTTATATATTTATATATATTTGATTTTTAAATTATTGAAAAACGACTAATAGTGCTGTTGCTAACTGAGTCTAGCTCTGGTGACTGTCAGTTATTGTGAAGTTGCTATGTTATGTATAAACATATACTGTGTATATAATTGCTGGTTGTGAGATGCTAACACCGATTACAAAAAAAAAAAGGACACTGCTACTTTTGTATGGATGTACTTGTATGCATTTCCATACAGGCAGTGAAAGTGATTTGATCTCTCAGTCCAAATAAGCTGTTCCTTCTTTTAGACATTCAAATGTGATGACCTCGGCAGCAAGCCTCAGCAGAGGATCTGCCATGTCAAGCTGCAGCACAGAGACATGCTGCGAAAGCGCTGAGAAGTTCAATTTTCAGCTGCAAATGACACATGAACTCCTATTTGGGCCCACATTTGCATTCCTTTTGCAATTTATTGACATGGTCACAAAGTGGGACAGAAAGGGAAAATGTCAAGCAGGGTCAGGGTTCCAAGCTAAGCTTTCATTCAAGGGTTCGTGTTTCAAGTGAGGGCTTTGAAGTAGGGTGATGGTTTGTAGCTCATTGACTAGCCGCCGTTTTTCAAAGCAGAGTTTTCCTTCTTGCCAACCGCTTTAGAGCATTTTGAGTGATCTTTCATCAAGACTATTGTTTTCTGTGACAATATAAGCACCAAACCTACCAAAAGAAAGAGTAGACTCTACTTTCACCAGAAAAAAAACAGTTTGCTTCTAGATTTTTCTGTTCCTTGCATTTTTGTCATTTTTTGTTAAATGTTCTGTAAAGCATTTTTGTTGCAGCTCTCTTGGAAGCGCAATATAAATAAAGATGTATTGTATTTAGTATTCAGCAGTGTTTGGTGTTTGACCAAAACACGTTACTAATTTTAAAAAAAAAGTGTCATACAGAACAATGACTTTGACGGCAATCTTTTTTGCTTTTGCGTAAAACTATAACACAAAACTGTAAGCCAACAAAAACAAAGCAAAGCGACTGACCGACGTTGACTTTTACATGGCGCTTGCCATTTACTCCATGTCTGCAACAACTTTTCACACTCTTTCTGATATCTACCGCAACACATCCTGTTTAAACTTTACATCTACATCGATCCTGTGTCTTAGGTGTTGTGTTGTGTTATTTTGTTATTTTGACTTCAAGATGGCGCCGCGAGAGTGGCTGCCTTTCCAGCAGCTCCTATATTTTGTTCTTCTACTCCTTCCTTTCAGAACTTTGCTGATGTGAATTGGGAATTTCTTCATTGCGAGACTAACAAAGGATTTCTTATCTTATCTTATCCTGTCTGAGTGTGAGCTGCCTAAACTTTGAGTTCCAACATGCTGCCATTTCTTTCCATCATAATTGACGTCAGGCCGAAATTCACCACTGATTTTTTCTTCGACTTGAAAGCTGTGGTGAACACAAATCCAAAGCGATGTGACACCACCATCTACAGGCATCTGTTAATCATTGCAGTCGTTCACAAAACTTGATTTCACAGACATGCTGGGGATGTACTTGGCAATTCTAATTATAGATGGCAGGAAATGCTGGGACTCCAGTTGAAAAATAGAAAAACATCCATGGAAGTAATTGGGTTTTACAGTATAGGACAAGATTATGACTTCAAGTCTAAAGTTCCCATATTTAATTAGTGTTTCAAGATGGGGGCCACAACATCAAAAGCAGCATCGGCGCGATGACGCTGTCGACTGACCTGGCTGGTAGAAGGAAGGCGAAAGCTCTTTGGCCACCAGCCTGGCAATGCTGGACTCGCTGTTGGAGGCTTGAGCAGCCTGGTCGGCTCCATCTGACTTGGCCTTGGCGTGGGTGGACCTGAAGAGGACACATTAAGCACATTTTCACAGTGCAGACTCATCAGAGACATTCACTGTTCATCATTGCTGAGAACTAAGACAGACAAAAAGGAAGACTCCACTATGCCACGTAAATGACGCTTCACACCCGGATAGTGAACATTGGAGGCTCCTGGGGATTTGTTATGATTGACTCAGCTGACAAAATGTAATCACACACTGAACTGAAAACAGCCTCCTGGGCTGCAGGTTGCTTAGTGCTTCCCACTGGAACAATGAAACACTCCTGAGGTTCCCCGTGAGACAAGAGCGTTCCACCTGTCAACATGCAGTCAGGATATCTTCTTTTGACTCAATGTTGAGAACACTGTCACCCTTATCTATGACCATAACCCAGGGGCGGGCCATGCCTTTCAGAGGCGGGCCTTCACTAAGCAACCCCTTCCAGCGAGAGTGCTTGAATTGCATCAGAAATTCTGTCTAGTCAAATTGGTGAGTGGCAAGTCACTCTGAGAAATCAGTAGCCATAGTGCCTGGTGACAAAAATAGTTCAACTCTTTATCTTCCATTACAACATCCATCCATCCATTCGCTACACAACTTCTCCTGTTCAGGGTCACAGGTGCTGGAGTCAATCGCAGCTGACTTCTGGCGAAAGGAGGACGACGCCCGGAGCTTGTTGCTCGTCAGTGCAGGGCCCTCACTTTCACTCCATCACTGAGCGAGACCTGAACCCACACTACCTTCAATGAACAAAGTTAGGCGAACGTGCCACGACACTATCGGTGACAACTCCATATCTCTTCCCTGCAGTATAACACACCAACACACAATCATTATCTAATAACATGTCAGAAGAGTATCAAACTTTATATAAAATACATTGTATTCTCCAGAGATGCTTACTATTTGTAGACAAACTGCGGACGGCTGCTCACATCCGTGATGGCCAGGACAGGCCCGGAAATACCGCGGCCATTTGGGGAAATGTACGTATTTTCACGAACTTCGTGATGGTTCACGAAAGGCTAAAATTTCACATAATTCTGGGCTACAGTGGCTTGTTAAGCCCAAAAAATTGCATGTATCCTGTTGTTCGTGCGGATCGGCATTGGTTTGTATTCCGACCTGGAGCGAAGCACACCGAGTCATTTTGGAAGTGCAGCAAGACAACTTCAAAAAGTGAGTCTTGATCCTGTTGTTTGGTCCATACCAGGATTTGTTTGTGTGTATTCACACTTCATAAAAGGTCTGGACCAGCTTGGGAAATAAACACTGGTCCGTTTAAAGTCAACCAAAAGAGTGCAGGTGTGAATACACCCTAACTGTGTTTTTTAATATCCCCCCATCCACATCGATGGGGCACCACATGAACGATCAGTGTTGGGGATGCTACTCACACCTGTTTCATGGCGCAGATGTGCTTTGGCGAGGTCGAAACTCTTGTCCAACCAATCAGAGAGTGCTGAAGCTTGAGGCAAATTAGAAAAAAAAAGAAGAAAAAAACAGTCCCACTGCTAACGTAGTTACATAGTTGAAGTTACATAGGCCAGCATTCAAAAAGGCCTGGGCCAATTGGATTGATATGGCAACACAGAGAGGCTGAAATCTGATAGGACAAAAATAAATAAATAAATACATCCATACATCTAACCTCCACATACTGGAAGCAGTGTAGCCAAGAGAAATGCGACCAAATGAAGAGAACACACCACAGGGTATAAATGAATGCCATTTCATGGAACAAATGTCAGCACTGGGGTTGTCAATGTAGGTCAGCACTTGTGGCAGTGTTTAGGCCAAAAGAGAAGGCCTTTCGAGTCTTAAGATTCCTTGGGAGGCAATTGTCCACTAAATTGGACATCATGTCCATCTTGCTATTTTTGAACTACAATTCATACTGGTTGTTGTTTTGGAACATAGATATTCCCTTCCCTGCGCTGGGCTGCGAAATTGAGGACTTTGGTTTGCATTTACTGTACAACAGCCGACACGTGGGTGACAGTGTATGGGATGACACATTTATCCACTGTAGTGACAAATTCGTAGCTTTGACATCCAGAATCCAACACAGAGAAGAAAAACGCTTGGAACAAATGTCCACTGTAATGTGATTCAGTGTTTTTGCACTGCATTGAACAATATCAATACTTCACAGCAGGTGTCACCAACTGCAAGTTTTCGATGTTTGCCCTTCTCCAACACAACTGCAGAGCTTGCTGATGAGCTGGTCATTTGAATCAGGTGCGTTGGTGACCCCTGCGTTACAGTGTATCATATTGTTGATTAACAGAAAAAAAAAAAAAATTAGATGACAAAATATGTTTTTCACTGGAGCGACAGTATCATTATGGATGTATATGTATATCCGATACAGTGATGACTTACAGTAAAATACATGTAATACCTAGAAAACATGAAACTGTTGATTTCACTACAGTATTATCAGGCCACACTTCTTGGCCCTCTTCCCTTGACCGTGTAGGAAATAAGAATGTTGCTGGCATTTTCGTTTGTCTCTTTTTTGGAATAGTTGCTAAGAGGGGTCTGAAAAGCCCTGAAATGTTGCGACATTTGCAACAATGCAGACACAAGTCGTAGTAACTCTTGCTCACTACCTTGCTTGTACTTGTGTGCACATAAAATAAAAACACTACTTTAACAATAAAGGCACCGTATATTGTATGTATTACATTGACTTCATTGTTGACTGTGGCCCCCACAAGTAAAGTTGTTCAACAAATATAATAGTAAATATAATGGGCTATTAATCAATAAACCATTTTTTATGGGTCCCAGTGAATTCTATTAATTTTTTCCGATATCAATCAAAAAAAATTTTTTTTTAAACAGCAGTGAATGTATCGCATAAAACTGAATGATGATTTATATTTTCAGGTACATGTACTTCAGTCAAAAGTGTCCACATCTCTTGTTACTGAAACGGGTTTCACAGTGGCTGGGGATCACATCCACTTTCATGTTTCACATGTGAGAACATTTTCAAGTTCAAGCTCGCCACGCTCAATGCAGAGTTTTATTGGCCGCCTTCTATCAACTGTATCTAGTTCGTGATGTCCTCCAACAGAAGATTGTGTTTAGTAACGGACCAAATGACAGCCAGTGGTCCGTGCTGGTGCCTTGCCAGTTTGTTGGCGGCCAAGAAAGGGTGGCGACAGATGGCCTCCTCCCGCGCAGCCTTCGACCTCCCAATCGTTCCAGGCCAACATTCAGCAATGACAAAGTAAGGCCAATGACAAATGAGTAAAGTCCCAAAGATTACAGTCTGGGAACAACGCTCCCATTCTCACGGATTCAATTCAGTATACTAGATTGCTCTTATCATTGCGTTACTATTTTGCCGCCTAACAACTGGAGTATTCCAATTGACTTTAGCTCTGCTTCTTGTGTACAACTTCAAGATCCTGTGGCTTACTTTCTACCTGTGGCAAAAGGCATCTAAGTTCCACTGCACCTCATTCACATTCTCCAAAGAGAACCCAGTCACCATCAAAGCCTTCTCGCTGGCTGGTGTATCGCAACACACAGACCAACAAAGCAACACACATAGTGGAGTGGTCACAGTGTGAGCACACGCGGTTGTGAGGCATTGTCAAGAAAAACACACACATTTCTTAAATAGCCTGTCAAGCTGTCAAAATGCAGGAGGGCCTGTGTTGGTAGATGTAAACAACCAGCTCCTCCAGGAATTAAACAGCAAATAGAAGGGATGCTAAATTTCATTGACATTCACATTTGAACCTCATAAATGTTATAATGAGCCTTACTAAGAAGATTTTTTTTTTTGATCCCAGAGGAAAATGAAGGTGTGAGAGTAAGACAGAGCAAATAATGTCGACAGCAATGTAGTGGTGATGTTCGAGTTTGTTGCACAAGTATCAAAATTGAATGTTTCAACTTTAATAACAAATCACACACATGAAGCAGGTCAAAGACCGCACTGCTCACTTATTAAAAGATAAACTGAGCCTCAAGTGGACCCTAAATGAACTCTTTAATCCTGTTTTTCATGCCAACAAAAAGCGACAGCATATTCTGTCACATTATAAATTTGTTGGATTGGAAAAAAAAAACAGGACTTGTCTTGCTGTAAACACAAAGAGGGAGGGATCAGTCCACTATTTGACAGTTTGTGTCAGCCATGGTTCTTGCACGTTCTCAATTTGCTCTAACATGTATTTTTAAAGGGTGTTTAAAGACCTTTTTAAAAAAGCACCGTAAATGCTCTAAAAACATGCAGAGGGAGTATATAAATGAGTTATTTTTTCACATTTTGTGAGGGTGGTCTGGAATGTAGCCCTTGCTGAACTATTCTACAATAACACAGCATACCAGAATGTGCTATACCTATACTCCCATATCAGTACCTATATTATATGTATTGTACCGTACCATACTGCTATACAGTATAATCATACTACATTCCGTATCAGTACTGCGACGCAGTTGACTGCTCAATATTATATATGGCCGCAGAAGTCTACACAATTAATTCAGACTGTGCTATGCTATATTATACAGTACTTGCATATTATGCAAATGTCATGGGTGATCTGTATTTTGACCTGTTGATGGTGAGGTATTCTGTCATTGTGGTATGTGCCACTGGATCTGTGTGAAGGGTCCTGTTTAACTGTGTACAGAGTGTTAGCGGGCAGAGCCAATGTGAAAGAGTGACTTAGTTTCTATAAAAAGATGACTACACGCTCCAGAACAGACTTGGGCAAAGTACGGCCCGGGTGCCAATCCGACCTGCCTGCAGTCTGACTGGCCCTCACTGACCATGCAGTCCAAGTAAACTGTGAAACATGTGGTACTTTTATTTTGAAAGGTGTGCTTCTATTTTATTTGCACACCTGTGGAAAGCTACAGTAGAAGCGAAAGCGAGGGAACAAGGAAGAGCTTTGACTTGTCTGCAGCATTGCCAACTTAGTGACATATCTGCTATATTGAGTGATGTTTCTGGCCCCTCTAGCAAAAAAAAAAAAAAAAAAGCAAAAATGACAACAGTGGTCGTTATGTTAACATCGTTCTTATTTCCTGTGCAGTGTAATGAAGAGGGCCAAGAGCATGGCCTAATAATACTTTACGCAAATCTAGTTATACTATGTATATTAGGTGTATCACGAGTCGTCACTGTATCATTATAAATCGCTGTTCATAGTACCATCATATTTTCAACTTGTCTATCTATTTTGGAATCCTGGAATGGCTAATATGAGTTGTCAGTTGGCGCACAAAATAGTTGTAATTTTTAGGGTGTGATAATATGATTTAATAACCGCTTAGCGTGTTGTTTAAATTATGTATGCTCCAATCATAACAATACCTTCTGTATCTACACATGTAGCAAATTATTGCTTTTTCTAAAATCATTAAAAAATAGTATACACAAAGTTGAGGTTCGGATATTAGCTTGCCACTCGGCAAGTGTTCCAGTTTCTCATGTGGCCCTTTTACAAAATGAATTGCCCTCTCCTGCTTGTGAACCGAACTAAATGTGGTTGCATCTAGGGTTAATTTAACTGTCATTATTCCACAGTTGCTTTGAGTTTGCTTACCATGTCTCTAATTACCCCGTAACAACATTCTCAATTCAAATTCCCCAAAATAGACATTCTTTTGACAATTTAAAATCAGCTCACACGGGCTAATGGTCGACCAGCATAAATTGCAGCGATCAGCAGTACACCATAAGCCAGGCTGCACAAGTAAGGCTGTGTGGGGTATGTTTATACTCGACTCATTTGTCACCTGAGCACTTGCTTATGAGGTGTGTCATATTTATATCCCTAGAACCATTTGACACCACAACTGACGCAAGATGGCCATACTTCTGCGACCTGTAATTGTTAGCAACGGACAAAGCTTGCAGCAGTTGATGAAATAAGATGGTGTTGTGCGCCTACAGTAAATGCCAGTTGAATTTCCCACCAGGACACGAAGACGCTTTAGTTGTGCGCTAAAAAAGAAAGGGCCACTACGGTTGAGCTGAAGAAAACAGTTTGGGTGTGTATCTGTGACGAGGCAGCAAAATAGCGGGAGGGTGGAGGATAATCAGCTGTTGCATTCCCCTCTGATTGTGATACAGCAAGAGTGTGCCTGTCCTTATTTAGTCAGGGTTCCTCCGTAACAACAGGGCCCCCGAGTGTGCGTCATTTACACCCCGTCCTGACACACAAGACCCCTCCAGACGTGCCGTCTGCCAGCACATACAACAGAACAATGTCCGCGCATCGTCTGACCATTAGGGACGCTGTAGCGCAGCTGGGAAGGACAAGTCTGGCTCTCCATGCAGAGAGCATGTTGGACATGTATTTTTAACTCGTCTCCACTGACACCAGATTAGAGGAAAGAATGCGGAAACCTGGAACACATGTGTCATGACCCTCCCGCCCCCCCCATGCCCTTTTATATAACAACATATTTCGATGCCAAAACCGTTTGTAGGTACACACAATCGAGATAACAGTGAACGATACTGAGGAACACCTGCAAATCACCTTTCCCTATTGAAATGAATGATAATGACTTTAAGGAGGAAAAAAATAGCACTCCTTCATCCATCCATCCATTTTCTAATTCACTTATCCCCAAAAGGTCCACGGGCTTGCTGGAGCCTATCCTGGCTGTCTTCGGGCGCTAGGCGGGGTACACCCTGAACTGGTCGCTAGCCAATCGCAGGGCACACAGAGACGAACAACCATTCACACTCGCAGTCACACCTTGGGAAAACCCACGCAAGCATGGGGAGAACATGCAAACTCCACACAGGAAGGCCGGAACCGGAACCGGAACTTACACCTCTGCACTGTGAGGCAGGTTTGTAAAAAGGGGCGGGTCTTGTGATTATCACGCAAATCTATGGGTTACGTGTAACTCTTGGAACCAACGACCAACGGTCAAGATGAGTATCTGCGCTTACATTCTTCCTAATAACCCAAGTGTGGCAGACAAAAGAGGAGACATGATAATAAGTCAGACTTGTTTTGTCAGCAAATGGCCATGGCAAAAAACGGCAGGAAATTCTGTTTTCGGGAGGACTGATAAGTTCACCTGGCTGAGACAAATTCAAAGAACTATAAATTCTACTGTACGTATCCACAACATGCAAGGAACAGGAAATTTGCTGAGTATAGTGGCCCGGCCGGCCTAAATATGAACATTTACATTTGTAGAATAAAAGTGAATTTAAAACATTGGAGTTTATGTATTTATCAGTCATACAGTGAAAATACACTTGAAGGTGAATATTTAGTTCGCAACTCGATTTACTGTGTATCCCAACTTACACTGTACAGGGTTTTGAGACGCCACATACAATACATGCATATCGATATTTCATTTTTTTTCAACCAAAAAAAAAAACAGTGTGATGGTCAAGGAATAAGCAGGTTGCTACAAAGAGAGGAAGTAGGAGAGAAGAAAGCAGAGAGTGGGGCTATTTTAAGAGGCTGCCTCGCCCCGTTCACTCAGTGTACCTGGCGCCCACGTACATCGCGTAGGTGCATTTTTGTGACAGAGACTGCACGCTTGGCTATTTCACCCACAGCTACGTATGAAATGGTAAATATGGTTCAGTATTGTTATAAAACACGAAATACTGTATCTATCCTGGCGTCAACAGTCAACTGCCATTCTCTGACCAGAGGCCAGGAAAGTGAAGTTTGTAAACAGAGGTGCTGATGTATGAGCGTAACGTTGGTGAAGTTATGTAGCATTTGGTTGGCTCTGGTCGTCCTTCGGCTTCGCATATACTAAAAAAATTGGAGTCGTCTGACGACAACATGGTGTTTGGAGGTGCACGTGGAACCAAACTGAGCACTGGCAGCAACACCATAACCAAAACAGCACTGGCACCAGTTCAGGAGTGAAAGAGGTACACGTGTTAAGTCAGCAGTGTCCAGACATTGAAAGTGGCTTCTCAAAGCAACAATCCACTGCACACTCTTCCATAACTCTTGTGTCGTGCTTATACTTCAAGGGAAATATTTGGAGTTCCCTGTGCCGGGAGGGTAGTCTGCAGTCTGTCAGTGGAAGTCATGCTGCTGTAAACAACAGCATCATTTCAGGTGCAGAAGATAAGAACACCTTGTACGGTCACAGATGCACTACGGACAATAAGAATGTGCTTTTAAGAAGAAACATGAAATCGTTTGTTGAAATCCCACTTTTTTTTCGACGCAAACTTCAAGTAGTCCTTTCGGACATAACTTGGCACAACTAACAAATTGTCCCTTCACCATGTCACAAGTCCCAAAAGGAGCTCTGCCTCCTATTGAAAAACACTGTCTTTTGGTGAACAACATGCACTCTACATGTTTCGGATATGTATCACGAAGATTGATGGGTTCGCCTCATGTGTTTAAACATCCTGTAGGGCTGCTAATGAGAGATGAGAGACCACCAAAACTTCAAGTCCAAGTATGCAGGCATTATTCGGTGGAAGGACAGTCTTCATAAGAAAAAATAAATCAGCACGACTTTGAAAAATATTTTTGGACTCTTTCTGTAAGGCCTTAATATGCCACCAGGCCTGGCTAGTAGCAAACTAATCCTTGCTGTCAAGGAAGTACGTTGGAGTGATTAATTTTCACCGTTTAAGATCTTTGTATGTCAGAAAGGAGCAATGTTTTGGTCTACTGGAAATTAGTCTGCATCAAAAGTAACACGAGGTATGTCAGAAATGTTCTGTGGCTGGAGTCACAAAAGGTATATTTCAAATCCAAATCATCTTCCTGGAGTCTAACATGCTTTCACAGCCTTCTCAGCCACAACCTCAGTCACACCGGGATCCTCCCTTGTCAGGGATTTTGTCTCCGTATTCGAAACGGGTCTCCTTACAAATTGCTCTGGCACAGTGTTTTTTTTCCCTTGGCCAGGAAGCGTCGGATGCTCGGGGCATTGTGAGCAGACACGTTGTCCTGGTGAAGCAGCCACCGGTTGTTCTGCTACCGCAATTGCCTCAAAGAAAATGATGCAGGGCCTGTTTTTGGCTTTGAAATGTATCTTGTCTGACACCAATCCTGGACCCTTTCCGACACACCTTTTATGTTTTTGTTCTACTCAGTGGCTATTAAAAACAACATAGGTGTACATTTCAGCTTGATAATTGGTATTTTTACTGGTTACAAAGGCAATACTCCAGCATCCTTTCGCTTCCGGTTCTTGTTTTCTCCATCAAATGGTCTGGAAGCCATACCTTTTGAGGGGTTTGTTTTATACCTGGAAGCGGCAATCTCCGCCTTCTGCTTGCCAATGGCAGCGGCCCGTTGAGCGCCCTCCACGGCCCGCTCCACCTTCTGCTTGATCTTGGTTCCTTTCAACTGGATCATTCTCTTCTTCACAGCCTTCACCAGCATGTTGTTCATGTACTTGCCCTCTTCTCTGCCTCCCTCAGCGAAGGTGGTGCAACCATAGCCGTGTCTTTGGTTGTTCAGCCACTCGCCTTCATACTTGAGGCCACTGGACCTTTCGCTTATTCCATACCCTGAGCGCTTGTCGTTCTTCCATTCGCCCATGTAGACTTCGGTGGTGGTGGCATCGATGTCTGCCTCGACGGGGGGGAAGTCTTCTGCACCAGCCAGGCTCTCGTCCCCCATGCTAATGGTGGAGTTAGTGTCGCTGATGTTGGAGCTCAAAGCTGATTCCGTCCTCAGGAAACTGATCTTGCTCTTCTGGCTGGACAGCGAAGTGCTCGAGTCGGATTTCTTCAACTTGCCCAGCAGAGCGCTCCTGCGAAACAGACCTTTCTTCTTGGGTTTCACTGCCTCTAGGTCCACCTGGAGAGTGAGGGCGAAGCCTCCCCGCGATGGTCCCAGTTGGGCAGGGCTGGCAACAGGAGTCTCTTCTCCGGACACACTTGTGGTGGTGATGATGGGGATGTCTTGCTGCAGGACGGTGCCATTGCTGTGCTCGCTGCGTAAGGAGGTCAGGGAAGTCCGGAGCGGAGAACGTACGACAGCTGCCATGCCGTAGGGGACGCTCTGACGGACCCCGTAGCCGTGCCGCATGCCGCCCGTGAACTGACCCTGGAAAGTGCCTGAAAACATAGGATTCAAACTGTTCATTATAAATTGCAGGAAACAATTTGTTGCTTGAGATTACATCCGAGCTTGAACAAACAAACAAAGCCCTCATGAACCAGATGGGAGTAAAAGTTAGAATGCTTCTGCTTCAATTCTGGTTTGTGACCTTTCTTTATGGTGTTTGCGTGTTGGTTTTATGCCAGTGCGGGCTTTCTCTGTTGAGGTTTTCTCTCACAACCCAAGACAGAGATTGTATGTTTGGTTTACAGGGGTCCCAAGATGTGGATCCACTCCCCAGGTGGGCACCATGTCATAGGTAGGCTTAAATGTGACAAATACCGTTACCCTTTACAAAAAGTAGTTCATTCAAGTATACCACATGCCAACTGTTTGTTACACTAAATTGGAGGCAGAATATATTTTAAGTGAACTTTTTAAATACCGGAACTATATTTTATGAACTTCCCAGAAGTATGCTTCAGTATACTTGGCTTGTACTGAAAAGTATATAGCCAGGTACTTAAAATGTAATTTGTTCCAATTTTGTTGTGGAAAAGTACACTTATACTCCAATATAAGTTATAAAGTATAGTTCATATCGACTACTTTTTTGTAAGGGGTAATATAAGCCCCGCGATGAAGGTGGGATTGCTGTACCTTGCACCTGAATTTGAACTGTTAGCTATTGATGTTTGCTGATCAGAAGGGGCTCAGTAAGTACTGTAGCCACAGCCTCCGATTAACATTGGGCTAACCCGGGTTGGCCTACTTTGATAGCCTCTTGTGCTTCTGGTAGCAACTGCTGGAAGTGAATTAGCTGCCGCTAGCGATGACTTCTGTTTCTAAGCAGCAAATTGGTCTGCTCGAACAATCCTTAAAATTGTGGCCCATTGGAAGTGTCTCATCTGACAATATTGCCTTTGTTGTATCTTTTTCAAGCTGTCTGAGGCTCACAATGTAGAAACAGTTCGGCTCACTTCTGTCGACAACCCATGAGACGTCAACTGGTTGTTAGCTCTCATGCTAAAATGGACATGGGTGGATTATCGTGATAGCAAGGCAGCTGGGAGGCCAGCAGGGTACGCGGGGGGGGCTTTGTGCTATTATTACAGCACACATTTGGTGCCCTCCATCCCCAACACCCACAGCTGATGAGTCAGCTGTGGACGGAGGGAACACACTGCTGTTTGATTGGTTTCTGTTATTTCCCACAGACACGGACTGTCTAAGTGCAAATCTTGTCATGGAAATGAGAACTTCCTGAATGGTCTTAATAGCGAGATGAAACAATAGTTACCAGACAGAATACAAATGAGGGAACCTTGTGCATCCATTCATTCAATGATTGTCGCAACCGCTTATCCTCCACGACCACGGTCATTGGCAAATAACCTTGTATCGTAGAAAATTTCAGTGGCATACTAATTTTGTTTTGACATCTACCAGGTTACACAGAAGACCCACTCAAAGGAATTACAGACCCTTGAAATATTATATATTATCTGGCCGGTAAAATCTCATCAGACTGGGTCGTATGACGGCATGACAATTGTGTCATTGTGCTTACTTCGCATGTGTCGTATGAATACAATACAATACATCCACCCATTCTTGGGAAGTCTTTTTCAGGTTAGCAAGGAGATCCCATCTGACTACACCGTCAACTGGCCGCCATGCCACAGTCATCCATTAGTGAAACTACAGATATGTTTAATGTTGCTATATTTTATATTTTATATGAAATGAATTATATTTTTATATTTATATGAAAAACAGCTTTGTGATGAAACAAAAAGTCAAGGACTTTTATGGATTTTGTGGTGGCCCACGAGGGAAGATCCAACCTTTTACTGATCCGCAGCAGAATCACATCTGAACATTCATAATTTAAATAAAGAAAACTGTTCTAAGATGTGCCCTACTGGGAGCAGAAAGTGGAACAGCAACAACGGTGTCATAAATGATGTCATAAATGTTTTTTTTTTGTTTTAATATTTACTATCTTTCACACCTTTTCACATCGAGATGTCCCAGTCATTTTTAGCTTCCTGTGGCAAAAACAGTAAAAAAATAACTTGCAAATTGTGTGTGTGTGTGTGTGTGTGTGTGTGCGTGTGTGTGTGTGTGTGTGTGTGTGTGTGTGTGTGTGTGTGTGTGTGTGTGTGTGTGTGTTTCCGTTCCGTGTGTCGATTCTAATAAATCCAGCTCGTGGTAAAACGTAACGGTTGAATTGATGCAATGGGACTCTGCATGATGTTGAATTTGTTGTTGTTGTTTTTTTGTAAACATTCAAAAATGACTAAGGCGGTTATGCTATTAGGTTAACAATATGAAACTAATTCATTATTATGGTTAGTAGGACTAGTAAAAGCCATGGATCATGTTCATGGTTAGTTTTAGAATATGTCACAAAAAAACAAAAACCAGACACTGTGCTGCGGGTGGCCCCACAGCATGTTTGGAAACTCTTGATCTAGATGAGTGGTTCTTAACGTGGGTTTGATCGAACCCTAGGGTTTCGGTGAATCAGTCTCAGAGGTTCGACGGAGCCTCTGCCATGGAGGTTAAGACACACCCGACTCAACATGTCAATTAGTTATGACATGCCCGCTTGGCCATCACTGGCTGGTTCATTTTGTGCACAATTAAAAAACGTATACTTTATACTGATACAAATTTTTCTGTTTTTAATAAATGTGTTTTGTTCTTTCTTGAATATTGAATATTTTTATTTTTCACTAACGAAGGGTTCGGTGAATGTGCATATGAACTGGTTGGGTTCGGTACCTCTGACAAGGTTAAGAACCACTGATCTAGATTCTTTTGCTGCAAGAGAACCGCTGCGATCAGTCTGCCTCTCTTACCTCCATCAGCGTAGGTTTCAGTTCCGTAGCCGTCCTGAAGCCCATTGCTCCACGTTCCCTCGTATTTGGCCCCGCTGCCGACACTGATGCGGATGCCATACCTTCCCTTGAAGCCATGTGTCCATTCCCCTCTGTAAATCCAGTGACCTTTGGTTTCGACTCCCAGACCGTGACGCTTGCCCTGTGACCAGTAGCCTTCGTAGGTGTTCCCGCTGGGCCAGGTGTAGACCCCCACCACCTCGAAGCCGTAATTCCAGGATCCCGAGAACTCGCCCTGGCCTTTGGGGCCGGTGCAGATGCCGTGGCCGTGTGCCTTGCCACCCTCCCAGCCGCCGCAGTATGCGCCGCCGTCATCGAACTCAAAGCGACCTCCGCTCATGTCGCCCCGCACGCACGCCGAAGAGGGACGCTTTGGAGCCTGTAGCCTGGCTGAAGATTAAAACCCCCTTCGGACCCACTCGGCCTTCTCCTGACATTAAAACTGCTTGGCAATATTCAGGGCTGTCAACTTGAGTGGGCCTCCTCTTCGTCTTTCTGGATTTCTCCGCGTGTCCATGAAGATCCGGAAAGAAAGTTCTTCTCCACTTCAACTGTTTTCAATTTAGAGCTGATCCAGAATTGTACTGAGCGAATTTTGTGGTTCTTTCCCGACAAGCTGGAGGTCTTTCATGGCTTTCCAGTTGGCCACGGAGAAAAGCCCCTGTCCCCCTGTCCCTGCCACCCAGCGGTGTGTCTCCTGACTCGCCTTGCTAGGGGAAACATTTGAGCACACCTAACAAGGCGACATGGACGCACGCGCACCCACACGCACGCGCACACCATTCCAAAAATACAACCCAATCCTTAACTGCGCTGCCTGCAAGGAGCCATGCCAGAGTCTTCCTTTTTGGGGCGGAGGCGCATGCCTTTGTCGACTCCACTTTGAGAACACTTCTTTCCACACTGGATGATAAACATAATCAGTTGGAAAAAGCATTCAACTACATTTTTGTGGTTTGATGAACATTAATTGAGTGGGAGGGGCGGGGAGGAGCGGGGCCTTTCAAATAGGTCTGCCGTTGAATATCAAAACAAGACTACTCCAGGAAAGTATGTTAGTTCAAAACAGACAGCGCCAACATTTTCACGTAAGTATAAAATAACACTGAAATGGTGCGCCTAAAAGAGAAAACATACTCTCGAACCTATTTTGAAAACCCTAACCCTAAATAGGGTTTTTATGGTCGGTCAGGGTTTCAAAGGAGGGTTTTGAAGTAGACACAGGGCTTCAAGTCAGGATCAGGTTTTCATGGTAGGGCTACTGTTTTAAAGTACGATTTCAAAGAAGGGTTAGGGTTTCAAACTATGGTTTTAAAAGCAGTGTTAGGGTTTCAAAGTGGAGTTTTAAACTAGGGTTACAATTTTAAAGTATGGTGTTAAAGTAGGGCAAGAGTGTGAAAGTAGGGTTTCAAACTAAGATTAGGGTTTCAACGATGGTGAGGGATTTTAAAGTAGGGGTTAATTTTTCAAAGTAAGGCTTCAAAGTAGAGTTAGAGTGTCAAAGTAGGGAATTAAAGTGGGATTATGCTTCAAAGTGGACATTCAAAGTAGAACAAAGGTTTCAAAATAGGGTTTTATATCAGGGTTACCATTTCAAAGTAGGGATTTACAAGTGGGGTATGAACTCGGGGGTGAGGATTTTAGGGTTTGAAGTCACCATTTTTAAATAGGGTAACGTCTCAAAGTACTGTTAGGGATTCAAATTAGGGTTTCAAAGTGGGTTTAAGGTTTCAATTTAGGGTTTCAAAGTGGGGTTGGGATTTCAAAATAGCGTTTCCAACTCAACGTTAGGGTTTTAAATTAGGGTTAGGGTTTAAAATTTGTGTTTAAAATTCTGGTTCAGTTTTTTTTTATTTTTATTTATTTTTTTTTAGCAGGGTCTCTGTCATGCTCTGTGTGTGTGTGTGTGTGTGTGTGTGTGTGTGTGTGTGTGTGTGTGTGTGTGTGTGTGTGTGTGTGTGTGGGCGCGTGCGGTAGCGTGTGCGTGCGTGTGTGCGTGTGTGTGTGTGTGTGTGTGTGTGTGTGTGTGTGTGTGCGTGTGTGTATGTGTGTTTTGTTTTAGCACCAGCTGGAGTGGAGGGTGTTTCCCTCCTGCAGGCACACCGTTTCCAATCAAGCCTTGGCATGACTGCCAAGATGCCTGGTCTCTTGTTGGATTATTGACTTTGTTTGCTGGTCATGCTCAAGTGTTGTTTGCTTGCGTTCTTGCTCTCTTAGTTTCCTCGTTTTGCAAGTATCGTCACAGTTTAGTCATTTCATCTTGCTTTTGTTTGTCGTGTGAACTGGACTTTTCTCATTTCGTTTAGATTCTGGGTGTTACCATGACCTTTCCTTTTGCAGGCGCTTTTTGTTCATTCCTTGTTTTTTCTCGCTCCTTGGGATCTCTGTTTTTGAGTTCGTTGGGTTTGCGTTTTTCATCATCAACATTTCTGTTATTCGCATTTTGTCTGTGTATGCATTTTGGGGATCCAAAAAATCGTTGTAGAACCTGACAGTTTCAAACGAGAATTATGGTTTCAAAGTATGATGTCATAATAGGGTTAAGATTTCAAAGTAGGTTTAGGGTTTCAGTACTGGGTTTTCCAGCAGGATTAATGTTTTGAAATAGGGTTCGGGTTTGAAAAGAGGATTTCAAATTAGCATAAGGGTTTCAAATTCGGGTTTTAAAGTAGGGTAACAGTTCCAAGCAAGGGTTAAGGTTTTAAAGTCGGGTTAACGGTCAAAAGTTGGGTTTTAAAGTAGAATGTCTGTTTAAACCACAGTTGTGGTTTCAAAGTCGGGTTTTAGAGTGGAGTTGGAGTTGAAGTAAGTCTTTAAATTAGGGTTCGGGTATCAAAGTAAGGGTTTAAAGTAGAATTGGGGTTTCAAAATAGTGTTTGGGTTTCAAAGTTCAAAGGAGGTTAAAACACTCAAAGTAGTTTGGAACCTGAAACCTCTTTTGAAACCCTACTTTGAAAGCTAACCCGAGTATGAAACCCTAATTTGAAATTCTGACACTATTTTTGAAACCAAGTTTGACACCAAATAATTCAAGGGCTTTATTTCAAAGACAACTTTATTTGAGGTTCATTTTTTTTTTCAACTGTTAGTCTCACTGGGGCTGGACGAGAGACAGTATTGTATTGCATCCTACTCTCCTTTACTTCCTCTACTGGACAACGTTATTAACTGCATCGGTTCCCTTTGCATCCTTTTTATGAAATCAATTAAAAAAAATCAAAATCATCTTCATTGGTCAAGTACTTGCACATTAAACACAAACATAACACCGCAGGGTCACTAAAGTATGGTAAAAATCGGACACTATCTCAAAATGCACATTCGGGACATAAACAAAAACTGTACAGTCATTTAGCAATACCAAGTGACAATAGAACTGTGTAAATGATGTCAATTGGCAGTAATTCAGGAGCCCCCACCATGTTTGAAAGAAAAACTGATGTCTTTCTCCTGTTGCTGCCTCCAAGGTGCTGTACATGCAGTCAAAATCGGTCGTACAATAACAAACAAGTCGGACGTGGTGTTGCCCTAATAATCAAATTTGAGGATATGGGCAAAGAGGCTTTTTCTTTTTCTTTACGAATGTACTTCGTGTTTTTGCTTTAATTTTTTTTTTTTGCATCCCTTTTCCATTCTTTTTGTTTTTCTTGTTTCAGCACCGGCGGAGCTGTCCGTCCGCATGTCGCACGGCCGCCGACGCTCT